GAAAATGCAAAAATTGAAAAATCGAATCATCAAAAAATTGGAAATTCGAAAAATTCAAAAACTGACAAACATAGAAACATCGAAACATCAGCGAAAAATTTAAAAATCGAAGAAGCAAAAATTGAAGAATCGAGAAATTGAAAAGTCGAAAAATAGGAAAGTTGAAAAATTGAAGAACCGAAAAACCAAAAAATCGAAACATTAAAAAGTCGAGAAAACGAGAAATCGGAAAATAAAAACATCCATAAAACGAGAAATTGAGACCTCAAAAAAAACTTAAAAATCCAAAAATCAAGAATTATTTTATAAACAGAAAAATTGAAAAACCAAAAGCTCGAAATTCGAAAAATTGAAAAATTAAGATACCGAAAAATCCAGAAATTAAAAAATTCCCAAAATTGAACTGCTGAAAAATTAAGAAATGGAAAACATGAAAAATCGAGAACTCGAAAAATCAAAGTCAAAAAATAAAAAAATTGATTCAACGAGGCGGGGCGGATGGGTGGGGCTTACTTTTTCACTTTTTTTTCTTAATATGTGTAGTTTTCTTTCAACAACACGATACTTAAAACATCTTCCACAGGGTATTTTCTTGTAGAGAAATATGAACTTTGCATTTAAGCTCCGCCTCCCGTCTCACGACCAATAAAAAAGATTAATCACAATTGATATGGGACGGGTGGGTGGGGCTTAACCTGTGATTTTCTTAGTACATATAGATAGTCTTCTTTCAACAATAAAATAGTTAAAATATCAAATGGTAAATTTGGGGTTAGAATTATGTTTTAAATATCGTGCTGTTGAAAATAGGTACACATTAAGAAAAGAGAGGGCAATAGTTAAGCCCCACCCACCCGCCCGTGTCTTGGTTGTGTTGAATTTTTTATTCGTTGTCAGATAGAGGGGCGGAGTTTAATTGCAAAACCCATATTTTTCTACAAAAATTTACCATTTTAAACATATTGTAAGTTTCTTCTTCTTCTCTTCAATTTTTAAGAAAAGAAAATGAAAAATTGAAAAATTTTAAATAAAAAAAAATAAATAGAGAGAAATTAAATATTAAAAAATTGAAACATCGGGATCTTGAAATATCGAGAAATCGAAAAATAAAAATTGAAAAATTCCGAAACTGAAATATGGAAAACTTGAGAAATGGAAGAAAAGTTTAAGAATCGAAAAATTGAAAAATCTAAAAATCAAAAAGTCCAAGAATATAAAAAATCGAAAAACCAAAACCAACATGTCAATAAATCGAAACATCAGAAATCGTAAAATCGAGAAATGTAGAATTAAAAAAAAATACAAGAATTGAAAAACACAAATATAAAACAACTGAAAAATCAAAAAATCCAGAAATCAAGGAAAAACCAAACATTTAAAAAATTGAAAAATTAAATATCGAAAAATGGAAAAATCTAACATTTAACAACTGAAAAATTGAAAAATCAAAAAGTCGAAAAAATAAAAATCCAAAATAAGACAACCGAAAACTTGCAAAATGGAAAATCTAAGGAATTGAAAATCTCAAAAAAAACTAGAAATTGAAAATTTTCAAACCTGAAATGGTGAAAAATTGGGAAATCCAAAAACTGAAAAATAGAATTATCAAAAAACTGGAAATTCGAAAAATCGAAAAATTCTAAAACTGACAAACATAAAAAAATCGAAACATCAACGAAGAATTTAGAAGTCGAATAAGCAAAAATTGAAAGTCGAAAAATAGGAAAGTTGAAAAATCAAAAACTCGAAAAACTGAAGAACTGAAAAATCGAAACATTAAAAAGTCGAGAAAACAAGAAATCGGAAAATCAAAACATCCGTAAACCGAAAAATTGAAAAATCAAAAACTCGAAATTCGAAAAATCCAAAAATTGAAATGCTGGAAAATTAAGAAATGAAAAATCGATAACTCGAAAAATCAAAGTCAAAAAATAAAAAAAAAATATTTATCGAGGCGGGGCGGATGGGTGGGGCTTAATTTTTGACTTTTTTTCCTTAATATGTGTAGTTTTCTTTCAGCAACACGATACTTAAAACATGTTCCACACGGTATTTTCATGTAGAGAAATATGAACTTTGCATTTAAGCTCCGCCTCCCGTCTCACGACCAATAAAAAGATTAATCACAGTTGAGATGGGACGGGTGGGTGGGGCTTATCCTGTGATTTTCTTAGTACATATAGATAGTCTTCTTTCAACAATAAAATACTTAAAATATCAAATAGTAAATTTGGGGTTAGAATTATGTTTTAAATATCGTGCTGTTGAAAATAGGTAGGTACACGTTAAGAAAAAAAGGGCTTAGTTAAGCCCCACCCACCCGCCCGTGTCTTAGTTGTGATGAATTTTTTATTCGTTGTCAGATAGAGGGGCGGAGTTTAATTGCAAAATCCATATATTTCTACAAAAATTTACCATTTGAAACATATTGTAAATTTCTTCTTCTTCCCTTCAGTTTTTATGCAGTGAAATTGAAGAAAAATTCAAAAATTCAAACATCGAGAAATCGAAAAATCTAAAAATGAAAAATTGAAAAATTTTAAATAAAATAAAAATAAATAGAGAGAAATTGAATATTAAAAGATTGAAACTTCGGAATCTTGAAATATCAAGAAATCGAAAAATAAGAAATTGAAAAATTCCGAAACTGAAATATCGAAAATTTGAGAAATGGGAGAAAAGTTTAAGAATCGAGAAATTGAAAAATGTCAAAATTGAAAAATCGAGAAATCTAAAAATCAAAAAGTCCAAGAATATAAAAAATCGAAACATCAGAAATCGTAAAATCGAGAAATGTAGAATTAAAAGAAATACAAGAATTGAAAAACACATATAGAACAAATGAAAAATAAAAAAATCCAGAAATTTAGAAAAAAACAAAAATTTAAAACATTGAAAAATTAAATATCGAAAAATTGAAAAATCGAAAAGTCGAAGAAACGAAAATCCAAAATAAAAAAACCGAAAACTTGCAAACTAGAAAAATTGAAGAATTGAAAATCTAAAAAAAAACTAGAAATTGAAAATTTTCAAACGTGAAATGGTGAAAAATTGTGAAATCAAAAAACTAAAAAATCGAATCATCAAAGAATTGGAAATTCGAAAAATCGGAAAGTTCAAAAAATGACAAACATCGAAAAATCGAAACATCAACGAAAAATTTAGAAATTGAAGAAGTAAAAATTGAAGAAACGAGAAATTGAAAAGTTGAAAAATCAAAAAACTGAAAAATTGAGCTGATAAATCGAAACATTGAAAAGTCGAGGAAACAAGAAATCGGAAAATCAAAACATCGATAAAACGAGAAATTGAGAAATCAAAAAAAAATTAAAAATCGAAAAATCAAAAAACCGAAAAATTGAACAACCAAAAACTCGAAATTCGAAAAGTCGAAAAATTAAGATATCGAAAAATCCAGAAATTGAAAAATTTCCAAATTGAAATGCTGAAAAATTAAGAAATGGAAAATATGAAAAATCGAGAACTCGAAAAATCAAACTCAAAAAGTAAAAAAATGGATTCAACAGGGCGGGGCGGGTGGGTGGGGCTTGCTTTTTCACTTTTTTTTTCTTAATGCTTAGAACATGTTCCACAGGGTATTTTCTTGTAGAGAAATATGAACTTTGCATTTAAGCTCCGCCCCCCGTCTCACGACCAATAAAAAATATTAATCACAATTGAGATGGAACATCCTGTGATTTTCTTAGTACATATAGATAGTCTTTTTTCAACAATAAAATACTTAAAATATCAAATGGTAAATTTGGGGTTAGAATTATGTTTTAAATATCGTGCTTTCGTGGTGTTGAAAATAGGTACACATTAAGAAAAAGAGGTCAATAATTAAGCCCCACCCACCCGTGCCCGTGTCTTAGTTGTGATGAATTTTTTATTCGTTGTCAGATAGAGGGGCGGAGTTTAATTGTAAAATCCATATTTTTCTACAAAAATTTACCATTTTAAACATATATTGTAAGTTTCTTCTTCTTCTTCTCTTCAATTTTTAAGAAGTGACATAAACTGAAGTGTATTTGGCGTTTCTTGTCTCAATCTTATTTGACTGAAAACATTTTCTTGTGAGAATCTTGATGAAAAGCCGAAAAATCGAGGCAAAGGAAAATTCAAAAATGAAAAATGGAAAAATTTTAAATAAATAAATATACAGAGAGAAATTGAATTTTAAAAAATGAAAACATCGGGACCTTGAAATATCAAGAAATCTAAAAATCAAAAAGTCCAAGAATATAAAAAATCGAAAAACCGACATGTCAATACAAGAATTGAAAAACTAATATAGAACAAATGAAAAATCAAAAAATCCAGAACTCGAGAAAAGACCAAAAATTTAAAAAATTAAATATCGACAAATCTAAAAGTCGAAAAAACGAAAATCCGAAATAAAAAACCAAACACTTGAAATGGAAAAATTGAAGAATTGAAAATCTGAAAAAAAAACTATAAAGTGAAAATTTTCAAACCCGAAATGGTGAAAAATTGTGAAATCCAAAGACTGAAAAATCGAATCATTAAAAAATTGGAAATTCGAAAAATCGAAAAATTCAAAAAATGACAAACATGAAAAAATCGAAACATCAAAGAAAAACTTAGAAATCGAAGAAACAAAAATTGAAGAATCGAGAAATTGAAAAGTCGAAAAATAGGAAAGTTGAAATATCAAAAACTTGAATAAACTAAAGAACTGAAAAACTGAAAAATCGAATTGAAAAGTCTTCTTATTTGACTTTCTTTTTGTAATATACGTGGTCTTCTTTCAACAATAAACTACTGAAAATATCAAATAGTAAATGTGAGGTTAGAATTATATTTTAAATATCGTGTTGTTGAAAACAGGTATTAAGAAAAAGAAGCAAATAATTTAACGAGTGGTTACAAGCTTATGGATTGAACCTATACTGAACTGTGGATTGAACTGTATAAATGGTAATTTCCAACCAAGGAATCGTCTGACGTCACACAGCCACTCGCGCAAACTTCACTTTGCAAACGTCAGTCGGTTTATTGACACTTGTAAATTTTGACAATTTTGACACTTTACCAACTTTATTAAGTATAGATATTTGTAAAACCAAATTAAAACAACACGAAAATGATAAAACGAGGAAGCGTAGAATTAGACACGTTTAGATCCGACTCAAAGTCCAATTTAATCGGGTCCAAACAAGAAACCGTGAGTAACCCCCCCGGCTCCCACAATCTCACCCATAAATTTAATTCAACAGACAAGCTGGGGCAAAACCTCCCCCAGCAAGAGTTACTGTTCTTCCAGTTCAACGTCCACAGAAAACGTCGTCTCCACCTTGGAAAGAAAAAAGGTAACTGTCGCCCCCATAAACACCCCACCTAATTTCGTTATTAAAGGCAGCATCTTTCGAAAGCAATGCACCAAACCGTCCAGATGACCCTCCCTTGTTACCGGGAGAAAAAGTGACCGGACAAGCTCGAGACGTGACTTACTTGTGTCCGTATTATGGACCGGCGCGAGGGGTGTTGACCGTGACCAACTACAAATTATATTTTCGTTCAGCTGATAAAGATACGCCGAATATCATAGACGTGCCGCTGGGAGTCGTAAGTTTATTTTTTTTTGTATAATATGTGTGTGAATAATGATGTGAATAGGTGTCCCGTATTGAAAAAGTCGGCGGGGCCTCATCTCGCGGCGAAAACGCCTACGGGATAGAAGTTTTCTGCAAAGATATGCGCAATTTGCGCTTTGCTCACAAGCAGGAAAACCATTCCCGGAGAGATGTGTTTGAGAAGTTGCAGCAATTTGCGTTTCCGCTGTCTCACAAGATCAAGTTGTTTGCGTTTGAGTATTCAGAGACGTTTTTGGAAAATGGGTGGACTATTTATGAGCCGATAGCAGAGTTGAAGAGGATGGTTTGTGTATTTTATACTTGTGTGTGTTTTTGATTGTTTGATTGTTGTTTGTTTAGGGTGTGAATAATGATATGTGGAAAATTTCGCGAATTAATGAACAGTATGAAATTTGCGATAGTTATCCAGCGGTTTGGGCGATTCCAGCGCAAGCTACGGATGAAGAAATCAAGGCGGTTGCCGGTTTTCGCAGCAGGGGCAGGATACCGGTGCTTAGTTGGATCCATCCAGAGTCACAAGCTACCATCACACGGTGTTCACAACCTTTGGTTGGAGTAAGTGACTTTGAAATTCCTGAGGAAATATCATAGATGGTAAAATGCTAACTCATTTGTCTGCTCATCACCATGAACGTCAATGACGTCATCTCCTTATTTTACAATAGTAAACGTTTAAATTGCATAACGATATTTTATAATTTAATTTTAAAATCTTGTGAACATTTTAAGATCATGGTAGAATGTTGATCAAAATTTATCCATTTATGCACTTCATGCCCCCTTCCCAGGAATTGGTGATGTCATCTTAAAATTTTGTCAAATAAATGCTATTTAAATGTTAAAAAGTAAAAAAATAACCTAGTCCTGAATTTGTGGTTTATGAATCTGTGTTGACTTTTTATCCTCGACATTGAGATTTTTGTAAAAAAATCAAAATTGTAGCTATATAATAATTTTTCGAATTTTCAGTTTTTCATCTTTGTGATATTTCAGTTTTGGGATTTTTCAGTTTTTTTTCTTCAGTGTTTCGATTTTCAATTTTTCGATTACTTAATTTTCGATATTTCAGGGTTGGGATTTTTCAATTCGTCGATTTTTCAATTTTTGACGTTTCTAAATTTCTGATTTCTCAATTTCTCGATTAATCAATTTTTTGGTTCTTGTGCTTTTTGATTTCCCGACTCTTCGATTTTTCAGGTTTTTAATTTTTCAATTTTTCAATTTTTGGTTATTTCAATTTTTGGAATTTTTCAATATTTCTATTCTTTGATTTTTCGGTTTCCATTTTTCTTCGGTTTTTCAGTTTTTTAATACATATTTCAGTTTTCTATTTTTCCATTTTAAGATTTTTCACTTTTTCGATTTTAGATTTTTCAATTTTTCGATTCTTAAACTTTTTGATTTTTTAATTTTTCAATTTCTCGATTAATCGATTTTTTGGTTTTTCGACTTCTCCATTTCTTGATTTTTTGACTTTTCAATTTTTCAGTTCTTCAATTTTTGGATATTTCAGTTTTGGGATTTATCAATATTTCGATTCTCGGATTTTTTGACTTTCCGATTTTTTAATTTCTTTTAGATTTTTAAAATTTGACGTTTTTCAGTTTTTGTCTCGATTAACTGATTTTTTGATTTTTGGACTCTTCAATTTTTCGATATTTTAATTTTTCAATTTTCAAAATTTAGAATTTTTCAGTTTGAGATTTCTAAATTTTTAATTTTTTGAATTTGTCAATTTTTAGATTTTTCGACTTTTCAATTCGATTTTTCATTTTTTAGAGTTTAGATTTTTTGACTTTTCGATATTTTGATGTTTTGATTTCTCGATTTTTCAATTTTTGGATTCTTGAATTCTTCGATTTTTAAATTTTTCAATATTTTGATTTTTGGATTTTTCGACTTCAATTTTTCGATTCTTCATTTTTCGAAATTTTAATTTTTCAATTATTAAAATTTTGGGTTTTTCAAATTTATACGTTTTTAAATTTTTGATATTTCGATTTCTCAATTTCTGAATTAATCGATTTTTCAGGTTTTTGAATTTTTAAATTTTCAGTTTTTCGACTTCTATTTTTCGAATTTTCAATTTTTCACTTTTTCGATTCTTCAATTTATCTTCGATTTTCAAATTTTCCCCATTTCAGTTTTGGGATTTTTCAATATTTCGATTATTAGATTTTTCGTCTTTTCGGTTTTTGAATGTTGGATTTTTTAATTTCTCGATTTTTCAATTTTTGGATTCTTGAATTCTTCGGTTTTTAAATTTTCAATATTTCGTTTCTTTGATTTTTCGACTTTTCAATGTCTCGATTTTTATTTTTTCAATTCTTTAATTTTTGAAATTTTCATTTTTCAATTTTTAAAATTTTAGATTTTTTATTTCTTCCATATAACAATATTTCGAATTTTTATTTTAAATTTTTCGGTATTTTGATGTTTCTATTTCCCGATTTTTCGATTTTTCACTTCTACAATTTGTAGATTTTTGGACTTCGATTCTTCAATTTTTTCGATTTTTCAATTTTTGGGTACGTATTTCAGTTTGGGGATTATTCAATATGTATTTCGATTCTTGGATTTTTCGATTTTTCAACTTTTCGATTTTTTGATTTTTTCCTTCTTAATTTTTGAATTTTTGAATTTTATATTTTTTGATTTTTCGATATTTCGATTTCCCGATTTTTCAAATTTTCGATATTTAGATTTGTCAATTTCTGGATGAATCGATTTCTCAGTTTTTCGATTTCTCGATTTATACCGATATTTTAGCTTTGAGATTTTTCAATTTTTCGATTCTTCGGTTTTGGGATTTTTCAATTTTTCGATAATTTCCCGAATTTAGTTTTTCGATTCTTCAACTTTTCAATATTTTATTTTTCAATTTTCAAAATTTTAGATTTTTCGGTTTTTGACGTTTCTAAATTTTCGATTTTTCAGTTTCACAGTTTTGCAACTTTTCGATTTTTCAATTTTTCAATTTTTAGTTTTTGGCTTTTATTTTGTGACTTTTCTATTGTCATTTTCACTTGTCTTCAATTTTTCTATTTTACAGTTTTGCATTTTTTCGTGTCTCGATTTTTAATTCTTCAATTCTTCATTTCTACAATTTTTCGAATTTTTTATTTTTTCATTTTAACGTTTTAGCAATTTTACGTTTTTTTTTAACAATTGTTAAATTTCCCGATTTTCAATTTTTCCTGTTTTCACGATTTTTAGTTTTTCCACTTTGCAAATTTTCAATTTTACGGTTTCGCAATTTTTCATTTTTCGATTTTTTTTTTTAGATTTTATGGTTAAGCAATTTTAGGATTTTTGATTTTTTTTTTCAATTTCTAAATTTGTCGATGTTTCGACTTTTCAATTTTTCGATTCTTCGAGTTCTCTATTTTTGATGTTTCGATTTTTCAATTTTTGACGTTTTTAGTTTTCGATTTTTCGATTTGTCAATTTCTGGATTAAACGATTTTTTGGTCTTTCGACTTTTCGATTTTTCAGTTTTTCAATTTTTCGATTTTTCAGGTTTTTGGTTTTTCAATTTTTCGATTTTTTGGTTTCTCGATTTTTAATTTTTCGATTATTCAACTTTTCGATATTTTAATTTTTCAATTTTTAAAATTTTAGATTTTTCAGTTTGACGTTTCTAAATTTTCGATTTCTCACTTTTTGAATTTCTCAATTTACCAATCAGTTTTCGGATTTTTTAATTTTTCAATTCTACAATTGAAATATTTTTGATTGTTCAATTTTTCGGCATTTCAGTTTTGGGATTTTTCAATATTTGAGTATTAAATTTTTCGATTTTTGAATGTTAGATATTTTAATTTTTCGATTTTTGATGTTTTGATTTCTCGATTTTTTACTTTTTCGAGTCTTTAATTGTTCAGTTTTTTAAATGTCCCGATCTTTCGATTTTTGGACTTCTCGGTTTTGCAATTTTCTGAATTTTACAATTCTTGATTTTTCGATTTTACAATTTTTCGGTTTTAAATTTTTTTAATTTTTCAGTTTTTCCATTGCTCAATGTCTTCATTGAATTTTTCCATTTATTGATTTTTTTTAATTTTAAATTTTTCAATTTTTAACTTTACGATTTTTCGACGTCTTGATTTTCGATTTTTCGACTTTCTGGTTTTTCGATTTTTCGACTTTCTGGTTTTTCGATTTTTCGACTTTCCAATTTTTCAATGTTCCGATTTTTCAATTTCTCGATTTTTCACTTTTTCGTAATTTCATTTTGGAATTTCTCAATTTCTGGATTTCTCAGTTTTTCTTTGATTCAGTTTTCCAAGATTTTTCAATTTTTCGACGTTTTAAATTTTGGATTTTTCGATTTCTCGAATTTTCTGCTTTTCGATTTTTTGATGTTTCTGTTTCTGGATTTTACAATTTATTGATATTTTAATTTTTCAATCTTTGAAAATTTTAGATTTTTCGGTTTTTCAGTTCTATTTTTCAATTTTTCGAACTTATAAATTTATGATTTTTCACTTTATTTTCAGTTTTTGGATTTTACGATTCTTCAATTTTTCGATATTTTAATTTTTCACTGCTTAAAATTTTAGGTTTTTCAATTTGTGACGTTTCTAAATTTTCGATTTTTCGATGTCTCTAATTTTGATTAATCGATTTTGGTCTTTCGACTTTTCGAGTTTTCAGGTTTTTGATTTTACAATTTTTCGATTTTTTAAATTTTCAATTTTTCGACTTCGATTTTTCGATTTGTCGATTTTTCAGTTTCCCGATTTCTCAATTTACCGATGTTTCAGTTTTTGGATTTTTAAATTTTTTTATATTCGATTTTTCAAATTTTGCTGTTTTAGTTTTGAGATTTTTTTAATTTTTCAATTTTCGATTTTTTGGTGCTTTGACTGCTCGATTTTTTTATTCTTCAATTCTTTTTTTTAATATTTCGATATTTTAAATTTTTCAGTTTTTTATAAGTATATCTACTTCTCGATTTTTCGATTTTTCAAATTCTTATTTTTTTCGTTTTTCAAATTTTAGATTTTTCAATTTTGCGATACATATTTGCAATTTTTTAAATGTTTGGTTTTTCAATTTTTGACGATTCTAAATTTTCGATTTTTCAGTTTTCCGATTATTTCTCAATTTACCAATGTTTCAGTTTTGGGATTCAACAATTTTTTGATTCTTCAATTTATCTTCGATTTTTCAATTTCTCAATCTTTCGATTTTTGGGCTTTTCGATTTTAGATTTGTCAATGTTGCAATTTTCTGATTTTTACAATTCTTGATTTTTTGGTTTTTAAATTTTTTCATCTTTCAGTTTTTGGAAATTTCGGTTTTTGATTGTTCAGTTTCTGATTTTTCTATTCATAAAATTTTTTTAATTTTAAATTTTTCAATTTTTAACTTTTCGATTTTTATTTTTATTTTTCGCGATTTTACGATTTTACCACTTCTTTTTTCAATTTTTCGATACTTCAATTCTTCTTCGATTTTTCACTTTTTGGTGCTTCAGTTTGGGGATTGTTAAATATTTCGATTCGTGGATTTTTCGATTTTTCAACTTTTGGATTTCTCGATGTTTACTT